TAGAGGCCAATTTGGCCTTCTCTTCCAAGTGACCACGAAACCGCACGTCACTCGATATGTCGACGCCGAGGATTCCGATACTGGCTGAGGATACAAGGGGAGTGCCTTGAAACTGAGGAGATACGACAAAGGAGTTCTTTTTAGCGATTAACGCGCAAACATGTGTCTTCTTGGGGTTAAACTGGACTAGATTTAGTCGCCTCCAATCCGAGACTCTGTTCAGCAAAGACTCGACTTCAGACACAAGTTTGTCCCGGCACTCGGAGACGTTTTCCCAAGAAATATTGGCTCGGCCGGTGTAAAGAGCATCACCAGTGCTGTCATCTGCATAGCAATGAATGTTACGGGTTTGCAACATATCATTGATATGCAGAAGAAACAGCGTTGGCGATAGCAGGCAGCCTTATGGAACACCAGCATTAATAGGCTTGCAATCGGAGCTTGCACCATATACAAAGACCTTGATGCTCTAATCTGCAAGAAAACTGGTGAACCAATCGCACAATTTCTCGGGAAACTCATAGGAAGGGAGCTTCGAAAGAAGCGCTTTGTGCCAAACCCGATCGAAGGCCTTCGCAATGTCCAAACTAACGGCCAATGCCTCCCCCTTGGACACTACTGCCTCCGCCCATCTGTGAGTTAAGGTAGACCAGAAGATCACCAGCTGACTGACCACGGCGAAAACCGTATTGGCGGTCACTAATCAGCTGGTGATCCTCAAGGTACCTCATGAGCTGGCAGTTTACAATGGACTCCATTGTTTTGGAGAACAAGGAGGTGATGGCGATAGGCCGGTTGTTGGACGGGTCTGAGCGGTCGCCTTTTTTAGGGATCGGGTGGACGAAAGCCGTCTTCCATGATTTTGGGACTACGCCTAGGGAGTAGGAGTACCGGAAAAGACGCGTTAAAACCGGTGCCAACTCTGGAGCACACGTCCTCAGCACAATTGGGGGGACTCCGTCAGGCCCACTCGACTTGTTGATGTCCAGAGAGAGGAGTGCTTTACGAACCGAGCGCTGTGTGAACTGTACTTCCGGCATGGAGCACTCACACCGCGGGATGGTCGGCGGCGTACTTCCCCCGTCATCGAGAGTCGAGTTGGACGCAAAGAAAGAGCCTAGAAGATCGGCTTTCTCCTTTGCGGTATGGGCCAGTGAGTCGTCCTCCTTGTGTAGAGATGGAAGAGATGGCTGACAGAAATTCCCCTGGACAGCCAGACAGACACATCTCGTATTTAGAGACATCTCGTATTTCACCGTTCATCATCATCTTCATTACATCAACATTGACATCAATATCCACTGCAGAAACTGGATCTCACTCACAGACTGGCTTATGGGAGCAATATTGTATCTCAATTATTTAAATTGTTTTAAAGTCCATTGTGTTGTGGAAAGCGGGTTTTACCTTCTACTTGCCTCTTTCACCTTAGTAGTTAGTACAGGGGAACTTTGTTTACGCCAGGCGTAAAATATCCAAACCAAATGAGCAGTTGCATCAAAAGTGCAATACAAAAAAAATACGTGTGTAAAAAAAGTACGGTGATTGCCGCAGTAAAGCTATTGCATAGCATTTTTATCAACTTATGCAATTATAATTATTTATTTATTTTATTTATGCAGTTAAGTCTTTGATATTAAATCCAGTTACACTTTTTGAGCGTGGTGACCGATGAGAAAACAATTTTTTTTCTCTTATTGAATAAATGAGAAGTTAATATTGTTTAAAATATTTTTAATATCTTACAATACATGTAGGTTATTCAGAAATTTTTATCATTGAGTTAGCAGCTAGTGTACATGCATACGTCTAGTCGCACGCACACAAACACCAGTGCCGAAGTCTGCCGAACTGAAACAACGTTAGACGATGCACGGCTTTCAATGCCACACCTCCGTGCCCGTCGGAGTGGGGAGCGTAAGGTTTTTTTTCGTTACGGAATTTCTGGATTCGGTCCCCGCGCTCAAGGCGCGCGATAGAAGCTATGCAATAGCTTAAAAGTTCTTAATATCAATTTATAATAATATCATTTTTCGGTATTTTTTTAATTTAAACCCCCTCACAAGTGTGTTAACTGTGGTAAATAATCACCTTATGAGGAAATCTATGTGTAATATGTAATGGGTGAATTGATACACTGGAATATGTAAGAATTATTTTCGTATTTATTTCAAATATTGTCTTAAAATTTGAGAACAAATACCTATAAAGAATATTAAAATGTTAAGTCCTAAATAAAGTTACGCACTCACAGTACGTAACAAATTTATTGCGAAAGTTCTTTTTTAGAAGCAGATGGCACATTTTTATAGTAATATAGCAACTTTTTGGCTAAGATTTACACAAATCTGGTATATAAAAACCTATTTTAGCAAAATTATGGCTCTTTATTATTTTACCTAGTAGACGATATAATGTCTCGAAATGGTAGTGATAAAACGCAACTGCTAATCGTGAGGCCCCGGGTTCGAAATATTGGATTTTTGAAGAAAATTAGTTTTTGGATATTTTTGTCAAGAAAGTCTCACTAGCAGCCTGGAGTTGGTTGTTAGCGGTGTTGCAACCCCGTGCCTCGAAAAGCACATGAAACCGTTGGTCCTGAGTCTGATCTCTCTCCGGTCTTATCGAATAACATTCTCACCGGACAATGAAAGTGAAGGAATGAGAGAGGAATAGAGAGTTGTGTTTGCGTACAAACTCGGGCACTATAATCCTGGCCTGCGCAGATGTCTGCGTTGAGACTGGCGACCACGTCCAAAAATCAGTCTGAAGGACATAACTCGTTTTAACATTAAAGAAAATAGCAAACTGCGAGCAAAGGTCCTGTTCATTTAAGAAAATGCATCTAGACACTCGTCTGAAATTACAATAGCTGCTATGCGAGAAGCAGGTTTCAAGCAACACGATCATCTACTCTGTCATCCAACTCTAGCCCACAGTGAAATCTACCTCTTAGGAAACAGCACCCAGACCACTGTGATGTTGTCACATTTTGAGGACAATCAGATGCTAGACCAGTTGTCATCCTTTCGTCGTTAACGTGTTCGAATGCGTGGTGAACGCATTCAACCGCTTTCTTTGCATCTGCCTTTCCATCAGATTACAATTTAGGTTACTTCAAGGCAAGAGTGTATAGCATTTTGTTAAGTCAGCACGTTTTATTACCTTCTGTTGCATTACCATTTACCGTCAGTAGTAGTGAAGCAATTGCTTTGGATACTAAATAAAATAAAACAAGATGCAGGTATTTTGTAAGGGTATTCTGTGTATTTTTATCGAATAGGCTTTGTGTTATTACGGCATTACTTATCACCAGTTGGAATTGTAGTCAACAAGTGGCTTAATAATAATAATAATAAAGCCTTTTATTCCGATCTAATAACATTTAACATTAAAACTAAAGATAAAAGAATCTACTAACTACAAAATGTCTCTTAGTTCAGCGTGCCTATTAGCAAAGGCCTCCTTCAACGATTTCGATTGTTGTCTATCTTGAGCAAACCTTCCCCAGTTTGGTCGTGCTGTAAGTTTTATTTAATATTTCCACCTTGTATGCTGCCTTCCTCGTCTCCTTTTGCTGTCAATTAGATACCATTCTGTTACTCTCCTGCTCCTCTTTCCTGTTTTGTCACGTGACATATGTCCTGATCATCTCCACTTGTGTTGATCGATTGGTTTGAGTATGTCGGTAAGTTTTGTTAAATTCCTTAGGTTAATATATGTGATCTTCTCCTTTCTTTTATACCCTCACAAAGGCGTTGAAAGAAAAACTTGCAGTAGCACAGAGAGCAATGGAGAGGAGTATGAAATAGTGGCTTAATTTGACTAAATGTAATATTATGAATAATGTCTTCCAGCTTTTGGTCCCGGCGGCCATTCTTAACGGTTAGTACTAGCACAAAATGAGATTATAGTGCACGAGTGAGAGCATAAGTACACTCTATTCCGTCACTCTTAGAGACCGATGCGATAGCAATTCGACACGATGGGAAAGGCATTAAACGCAGTTTCCACGCCTCAACGATATTTCTGAGGCACGAGGATGAATCACCGCTAACTTTCTAACTCCGAGCTTCTACTGAGAATTTCTTGACAGAAAAACCCAATAACCTTGAATTTAGCTCGACCTATGAAAAAATGGGACCACATGTTCAGTAATCGCGCTTACGATGGCGTAAGTTCACTTTTACGTAGAAAGTAAGAAAAGTGGACGAAAACCTAACATGAAAAGGCGATAACCAACAGCAAAGAAAAATATTCCAGTGGCAGCCTCGTACTCATAAAACTTCACAAAATATGCAAAAAGTTGAAAAAAATTGGTAGAACAAAACATTGGGGAAATCTATTAGAAAGGTCTAAGTTCAAGTTTAATAGCTTAGGGATGAAGTGTATATAAACTTTGGGGTCATTTTCTATAAAGATATGCTTCAAACTATATTTGTATTATATACGTATACCTCAAAACCTGAAAACTAAGTTGTACAACCAGGGCGCGATGCCAGTGATGACCTACGGAACCGAGACGTGGTCCTTCACTGTTGGCCACTCAAAGTAGCTCAGCGAGCTATGAAGAGGGCTATACTCAAGGTTTCTCTGCATGATAAACTTAGAAATGAGGATATCCGCAATAGAATCAGAGTGACTGACATAGCCCAACGGATCAGTAAGATGTAGTGGCAGTGGGCCGGCCATATAGCTCGAAGAACCGACAACCGTTGGGGAAAAAGGTTCTCGAGTGGCAGCCTCGTACCGGGAGGCGAAGTGTAGGGCGACCCCCCACTAGATGGAATGACGACCTGGTGAAACATGCAGAAAGTCGATGGATGCAGATGGCTCAGGATCGTGGTTTGTGGCATACCTTGGGAGAGGCCTATGTTCAGCAGTGGACTTGTAAAGGACTGTAATGATGATGATGCAGTTGTAGAATAATTCTAATCTATAACAATGGATTTTATTATTGACAACTAATTATATGAAATATAAATTTTACTTATTTACAGATAATGTGTCATTACTTCTGGCTAACTTGCGACGGTATTGGGGATGTAGTTTTCGCACTCGACCTTGTCGTACAACTTCGGACGGGTTACTTGGAACAAGGGCTCATGGTATTAAAAATTTATTTGTAGATGTCGTTTTTGTGTTACTAAATTCATTAAATTAAATCAAAATTTTAATAATACCACCTACCATCAGCTTCTGAAGCTTAATTTTAATTTCCTAATTTAATGTTTTTAATATATCAATAATTTTTCGTAACTTCTCTCAATCTCGTATGATATTAAACTGATTGGCATTCTAGGTATACGACTCAAAAAAACTGGCAAAACACTATCTTACTTCAAGAGCCTTCCTTCTGGATATTGCTGCACTTACTCCGTTGGATCTGATTCAGATAAAAATTGGAACCAACCCTATTATACGCTTTCCTAGATTTTTGAAGGTAAGACTATTTTATTTACCACATAACAATATCATTCACGGCTCCGTGGAGAAAACGTAATTGTATGACCTAAAAATAACTGTCCCCGATCTGGATGTTTGTCCTTATATTTGCGTAAACTGCCTCCATGATACAGGAGTAAAACCAGTAAGTTTAATAGATATATTTGTGTTTATCATAACATAATTCTTCTTCTTCACCAACAAAGCCCACTAACTGACATATGCATCTCCCGTTGTGGGGTTGCCATAATCGCCACAGTTAGTAGACCAGACCACCAGTACCAGTGTACCAGACACCTTGATGCTGTAGTTCGTCGCTGGTCTGGGTATTTTACGTTTGCCGTTAGCAAGATGGTGCTAAAACCATCTATTGGCAGAATTGAGATCCGTCCTACATATCCCACAGTCAGTCACCTCTTACAATAACTGCGCAACAAAATGGGGTGATAAAATATGTTACGCTGCCGCCACACGGCTCATTTTTTGTTGAAAACGGGTGACAAACAAGCGCACGCACTGTTCCTGATCTTGTGATGTGATGGTAAGTGAAATAATGTAATAATCAAAATGCAAATACGTTTTTACCTATGAGTATAGATGGTGTGCCTCGTTTCCAGTGAAAACGCTGTCTGATTCTCTACACTCATCATACGAAACACAGCAGGATTAAGTTGCTGTTTCACACTGTTGTTCTATAAAAGCGTGGTAATTCCCCGTCGAGCCGACTCATCGTGTTGTAACCATAATCTGCCTACAGCATGGCTCTTCCACATTATAAAATACTTTTAACTTTTACAGGGTTATTTTTCAAAGAGTAGCCAAATTTTAAACTTTAGATCAAATATATAAATAATGATATACCGTTATTGCAGTTTTTGAAACTGCGAGTTAATAAGACTTCTCCTTTTATTTGAAATTATCCCAAATTAAATGTGATTTATGGGCAACAACGTTTTTGGATACCGATCGACCGTTACAAATTTGTGCGTGCACAGTAAAATCGGTTAAAATAATGCATTACCACGCAATTTGAATAATAGATACAAAGGACAGAATGTTTGATTTTTTTTTATTAATTTTTCTTCACCATTTGCATATATTACTTATTCTGAACCTTTTCTAAAAATTTGGCCCATAATGATACACATAATGCAGGTGTTTATAGTTTTCGCTTAGACACCAGGTTTTCACCCATCAATTGATTTTTGTTTCAGATGTAAGCATATATTAATTGTTGCTCTCTGTATATAAATTAATTGATTATAATTTATTTATTTACAAATAATTGTATTTTATTCAACTTTGTAGGTATATCGAGCTGTTAGCTGTTATTACATGGTGGAGTCCAGAACGGTTTACCCAAACTTCTGGCGTGTGATCAACCTGATACATATTTTGCTGATCCTAGCGCACTGGTTTGGATGCTTCTATTTTCTTCTATCAGAAGCTGAAGGTTTTCAGGTCAGTAAAGTCAAAGTCAAGGTCATTATATTTTTATTCAAAATCGGCCTTTACAAACCAATTTTTGAAGATCAAGAAAACTACGCCATCTCTAACAAGTCTCTATTGCACGCGACCCTGTAAGAAGAAGCGACTAATAAGCTTACAAGTAGACTATTTTTCTACCAATTTTGTTTAACCCCATAAAAACCTTATAAATATTTCTGGCATCCCTGACGCTAATCTCTGTGCGTCAGGAGTGCCAGAAATATTTGAACATGGTTTGTACGTGAACAGTAGTAGAAGTAGAACAGAAGAAGAACAGTGTAGTGACATCGCCATCTATCGAACGATAAAATATCTTCAACATATTTCTTTAAAGCTTGTTTTTTAATGCGAGATGAACTTAGAAATGAGGATATCTACAGAATGACCAGAGTAACAGATTCAGCGTAACGGAGTAGTAAGATAAAGTGGCAATGGGCCGGCCGAAGAACCTACAGCTACATTGAATAGAGGGGTTCTCGAGTAGTAAAGTCGTATCTGTAAGCGAGGTATAGGGTGGCCCCTTACTAGATGGAGTAATACACCTGGTGAAATAAGCGGGAAGTCGATGGATGCAGGTAGCTCAGAACCGTGCTCTGTGGTAATATCAAAGGGAAGGAAGGGCTGTAATGATAATAATAATTATTGTTTTTAAATAGATTTCATATTTAATAAAGTTTTTATAGTGTGAGCTACGCTCTTAATTGAAACTTAAGCGTAATTCAACAAAGTGACTACAAAGCCAATTAACTTTACCAGATTTGAGAATTAGACAATCTTAATTGTCTATGAAGACGGTCTCACAAAATGGCTATCCTCAAATGGGATGTAACCACTGCTTTGAGCAGATTAGAACCTTTTGTTCGCATTAGAATAACGAACGCAATTTTTCGTCAATAGTGTTATTAATTTACTTTCTTCACACTATGTATTTACACTCTATTAATTTCTGTAAAACGTAACGGAATATAAATTAAAGTAATTGATTGACGCAGGTGACTCAGGACCGTACTTTGTGGCATTACTTGTAGAAGGTCGTAACGATGTTAGGTTATTAAACCATAATAAAATATATAACTGTCGGCGAATTTTAAAACACACTATTTGATAAACTTTTTCGTTGCAAAAATGGTACAATCTATAATTTTCTTTATCTGTACGTAAGACAAGTAGTGTACGAACGACAGAACTAGGCAACGTTGTATTAACTGAAACTTTGAACCTTTTATAGTGAGGAAACATGGTCAAAATCTAAATCCTGTATTCCCGTGTTTACTCCACCAAAACTGGACCAAATAATTTTTTAAGCACAAATAATAATTCAATATAAAAAGGATTGTAGCTGTCTATATGTTTTTATTTATTTTTCTCGTTGAATTTGCTTGTTGGCCTAATAACGATGATACTAAATAAGCAATTTTTTGTAATTTCGGAAGGTTTCTAGTTTTTTTTTTAGTGAATAAATATATAAATAATTTTTTGCTTTAGTGCCATTATCCAGGAGGAGAACGTTTCTATTAAGTTAATACAGCCCAACTGCAGGCTAGATATCCTCTTAAGAGTTCACCTCATAAGTAATCATATGAAAGCGGCAGATGTTGGCGTATAGCTTCATATATATTTATAGTTATTCTGAAAGAGAAAACTGTGTATCCCTTTATAAGTATGTATAAATATTACGGGCACGGAGGAGTGTGAGATTTGGCGTAATTAAAGTTAAAGTTAAATAAAACATACATTGTTTAGGTTCCTCGTTTCATGATTGCGAATGTCAAACACATTATAGTCGGTCGTTTGTTTACTTTTAGAGTGCTAATTTCAAACACATTATAGTCTGTGGTAAACAGTCACACAGAGTAGAAATTGTCATCCTTAGAGCTAAAACAATATGGCCAAATAACTTTAAAATGTTACCAGCAAAAAATGAGAGTGTTTAAGACTCTTTCTACTACCAGGCCGGCGCTAATATGCAATGAGGTAAAAATTTTAACAGATTTCATAGAGGGGAAGAAAATTTCTCATGAAAATGTAAATTTTCCTGTTTCTTTTTGTAATATTAGTTATATTTTATACTAATTAGATTAGAAATGAATAAAGCTATGTATTTAACCTAAAGTAGAAAATTGAAGAAAAAAAGAGTTAAAAAGCGCAAAAAAAAAAACAAAGTTCACCCCACACTCTATAAACTGTTAAACTATTAATTAAAACTTATTTCACATAACTGAAATTGTGCAACAAAAATATACGTGGTAGAGCCATGGTGCAGTTATATTAGTAGTATAGTTGTAGCACGAATGGGTCGGCTCGACCGGGGAAGAACCACGTTCTCACAGAATACCAGCGTGAAATAGTAGCTTAATGCTGCTGTATTTCGTATGGTGAGTTTAGAGAACCGGAGACCCTTTTTACTGGAAACGAGGCATTCCATCTTAGTCCTCACGGGTGACAACGCATCTGTATTTTGATTCGTAATCGAGGATAGATGTAGATGTCTATGGACCATTGCAACCACTTACCGTCAGGTGGACTGTGTGCTCGTTTGTCACCCGATCCTATAAAAAAAATTACCTCAGTCACAACTGGCGACATCTGGTGAGTGTAAGGTTATTGACCCTCATTAGTGACTAAAAACGCGCGGTTTTGTGTGATTTCAAATGTTCCTTTTCCAATAGTGTATGGAGTATATGTTAGACAAAAAAAAACGTTTCTTTTATATTTTTACATTAGATATCTGCGTTGTACATATAAATAATTTGGATATATTTTCAACTGCAAATTTATAATATAAAACACAAAGATACAGCTTGTTAAATATATGACCATCGACAACTTAACGACGACTAGTTATAACTAATTGCGCTACGCACACGTCACGTACTCATTTGGTACGAAATATAATATTAAATAATATAATATTAATGAAATATATTATAATAAAAAATAAGCTAATAAAATCGGTATTTCTAATTGTGATCATAAATAATAGCATTCTTTAATTCATCAATATAATTTCTTTAATCTAAGTATATCAATCGAAACCTGTCATTCACATTCTCCTATCTGACGTAATAGTTTTGCAATCAGATTGAAACAAAGGTCTAAAATAGTGTTAGAGTAATGGAAAGGCGTAATTTAAGCAAATCCAATAAAGTTTAAAAAGAAAGGAAAGTATTTGTGTCATTATCATTCCAGCCCCGTTAGCCTTACGACCTATTAAGGTCCACTGCTGAACATAGGCCTCCCCCATAGATTGCCCCATAGAGGGGATGGATATTTGCCATATTGCCACGCTTGGCAAACGGATTCTCAACCTACCTTTAACATATTAACAACCTCCTGCCGATGTTCTAATTGGTTTCTCTCTGTGACCTCTTACGACACCAGTGGGATGATATGGTGCAGTGGATATTCTTACATCGCCACCATACGGTCCAGGGTCGGTTCCAGCCCATTAATAGTTAATTGATGAACATAAGCGCATTGAAAGATCACAAACAAAACAAAGCAAGGAGTTAAACCACCCACGTCTTCATACCTTAACACATCTCATTCATTAATTTTTTTAATTTTTTAATTTAATATACCTACTAGCAATGCTAGTAATATTACTAATATTCCCTTTGCCCATTCCTGGTAAGATTAAAATGCTTCTGTTAGGAGTTGTTCATCATGAATTGTTCGTTCAATCAAAGCAGATGTTTTGTGTTCTTCTAAAGACTAAGGTTAAGTTGGGATAATGCCCTGTTATAATTAAAAGGGTTTTTCTCTACTTCTCTACACACTGGTATAGAACATTTCTACTGTACTAAATACTTATGGTGTTATTTTAGGTTGGTATTTTTTGAGCCTGTATCTTTGCCGGTCGACCCGACGCGTCGATGCTAGTCACAACATAGGATAGTGCAGTTATTACTATTGTTATTCATTTCTTGCGTTATCGAGTCGTAAAGGTCTACATGTTGGATATGGGAATCATCCGTTGTAAATTCTCCCTTTTACCTTTTAGCACTTTGGGCAAAAAATTGGTAATCGCTGTGCCAGACCTCCTGCACGATAATCCGACACGGCTGGAGAGATATCAGGTGCAGAACCAACGGCTTTACATGCTTACCAATTCTCATAGATGCCTTTGACGTCACATATGGGACAAAACGGAGTACACAATATATAATTAATAAATAATAAATTATAATTAATATTGTATAATTATCACTTTATATAATTATTATTAATATGTAAATATTTATGACAGGGCGATTGGGCTTATCCTCATCGACCAGGTGACTACGCCACTTTAACAAGAAAATATCTTGGCTCGCTTTACTGGTCCACACTCACCTTGACGACCATTGGAGACCTGCCTACACCTGAAACCAACGCCGAGTAAGTAATAATATTCACTAACTTCACCGTAGTTTACATTCTTTGGTTTTCTTGTTTGTTAACAACTTATTAATCTTTAATACAATCAAAAGTATCTTGCTAAATTGAAAGATTCACACTACCTTGGGTCTTATGACTATATTATTAAAAAAAAACATTCTCAATGCCCAATTATAAAATTAAGTCTATAAAAAATAAAAGAAATATTGGTACATGTTTTTATATTCGGAATTTTAATTAAAAAATCGCTATATCAGCCTTGGCATTGCGACCTAACATTAATGAATTCGACAAAACCGAACAGTTATTTACATTCCACAAGGAAGCTCATTATGCTCCAGTGAGAATCTCGATTAGATTTCCCAACATTTAATGTGACTGTGTAAGGGACTTGAGTTTCGTTTTCCCAAAACGACATTAATGGATGCTGATCCTATTGGAAACGTAAGATTATCAATATGAGATAGCAACTGTTACGTAAATAACATTAAATAAAATGCTTTCCACTAGATAGTCAAAATGGTAATTTTGACTATCTAGTGGAATGCATTTACAAAAATCAAACTCTTTTTGGAAGATTTTTTGTAATCGTACATATCGACCACATGTTAAGTTTATTTTAATACCTTGTTTGATATAGTAAAAGAAATTGATAAAAATAAAACCGTAACAGTATTGAAAGAAAACTTGAGAAAATTGATATAGAGGAAATCGATATAAAACTATATTAGAAGCAATTCCGTATAGGCACGCAGAAATTTTTTTGCGATTGCAAGTGTACGTTTATAGAGAGCCGTTCTAAAACATTCTAAACTTACGTTATTTTCTGTAGTAAAAATGCTTGATACACAATCCCAGTTTAAAATAAATTAAACATCAATTTGCAAAAAGGGCCTCGCCAAATATTACATATAAAAAGAAATGTAGATAATGTATAGCGTTTTTAATTTAAGATTTGATTACGTGAATAGAATTGAATACATGAATCAAATTATTTTCTTAAAATAAACAATGAATAGGCGAATTACTGTTACAAGCTAAGATTATTCTAAAAAAATGTTAACATATTGGTTGTATGTACTAGCGTGCACGGAGGTCCCAAATTTCTGCCACGTCGCGGGCTCAAGTCCCGCTTGCTGCAGTTTCGATCCAACCGAGGGTACGTTTTTAAATGGCGAACGATTGGTCACATATCTTGTCGTGTATACTTATTCTAATGACTTCAAAAGCTTTCATTAGACAGTAATAGGAAGTCGCTAATTTTAATTTGTGAATTAGTTTATTAATTTGAGTACAAAGTACCCGCAATACACTACCTACATCAAACCAGTAGGATTAACTCATCCAAGTTTACTTGGACATGCTACGCAAGAACGAAAATAAATCACTAAGTCAAATGTTTGTAGTGTGCGATAGACAGCCAAGGGTGTCAAACATTGACAGTTTTAATTTCTTATTCAGAACCCAAACTTATAAACTACCTACTCACTTCGATATGCCAACCCACATAAATCCTAGAAGCAAAATGAATAATTAAATTTTCTCCCTGAACTCGTTACGTAAATATATAAGATTTATTTTTATATACTTAATCTAGTTTTCAAATAGAAAGATTTAAAAATAAATAAATATATTGGGTCATGCCTATAATAGTAGATTTAGCCAAAATAAAGGTTTAGATGGAAACCTTTAAAGGAAGTAAGGATAGCTAGGTCATCGCTTACTTAATAACAAATCCAATATCTCATTAGTTTGACAAAATGCTTGGCAAGTAATATTTTTCATGTGTAACTTCTTTCCTCTTGCTTTTCGCAATCTGTGGAAGTGATTTTGTGAAAAGGGACGGAAGTGTGTATCAGGAAGCTGGGAAGCACGCGTTATTTGATTTGACCTATGAGCGCGCGCGGTGGTACGTGTGGTATGTGTGATTTTTTTAAAGGATAGGGTGACAGACGAGCATACAGTTCACTTAATGATAAGTGGTTGCTGTGGCCCACAGAAATCTACATCTATCCTCGATTAAGAATTAAAATTTAGTTGCGTTGTCACCCGTGAGTACTAATATGGAATGCCTAGTTTCCAGTGAAAAGGGACTCCGGTACTCTACACTCGCAAAACGAAACACAGTACCGTTAAGCTGCTATTTTACAGGTGTAAAGGTGTAAAGATCAATCTCATAGATATCTGTGAGCCCAGTTAACTTAATATGATGAGTATTTGGTACTCAGTAAGTGGTAACATAATATTAACACTGATATAGCATCTTCTGTGGTATGTTGGTCTGAGACATATAGTTACCGTGTTAATTTCGCCAAAGAGCGTTACTTGCTTGGCTTGTCGTTAAAAGCTTTCAATGGGATATTGGGATTGTAATTTTGCAGGCGTAGAGCTGGCCACCTATTATTTCTTTTACAAGTTTCCATCTAAACCTACATTTTTGGCTAATTGTGGTCCAACTAGCTCGCTACTCTTTGGACTCTGCCTACCCTCCAGGGAATTACCTACAGGCGTGACACTTTATGTATGCATGTATGGTTAATAACATCCTCTTATCTACTTTCATGTCTATGTTATGCAATGGACTTTTGATAGATCAAGAACTTCCGGACTTTATATGAATGAACGAATCAATAAATTTGGATAAAACTTCAATATCAATGTTTATTTCGTCAGGAATAAAATAAATATGTGCATAAATATACTGTTACAATAAATATCGCTGTCCGTGTAACAATTTCCTGTATTTTCCCTTGCCTATATTAGGTATTCAAATACAAAGGAGATACAAAACCTAACTATGAATATTGTACTGCCAATTGAAACACACTACTAGACCTCCTTAATACTGTAAATTAAAAATTAAACTTAAAGAAAGTAAAGCAGACCTCATTGAACTAAAAGGAATAAAATAATTCCATCATAATAGCTTTTGAAAGCGAGTCTTTAATTCTTCTATACACTATATCTTATCATCGACTTCAGAAGATGTTGGTGTAGTGGTTTATCGAAGTCAGTATTTAATTTTTAGTGAAAGTTTATTTTTAGACTTTTGAATGTACTAAGAAATATCATAAGCTCAATGTAACAACTAGAAAATCAACTAAATAGTTGCATTAATAACTTCATCAATGGTGGAGTTTTATATAAAACGACCATTGAATTATAACATCTTAAATAATTATCGCGTAAAATATACCCAAAAAAACATACTGTCGAACAGAAAACGATCTGCTAATTTGAAGTCGGCTAAGAAATTAAAGTATTGATCAACGCAGACTGTACCGTTGTTGATAACCGTGATATCTGTCTGTATTTACAATATTTTAGGGGGTTTTTTTACTTCTCTTTGGATTTTTCTACTATTTTGGAGTCCGTCTATTTAGGCACCACCCTCATCACATCAATATCAACTTTTATCTATTACATCCACTGTTAATTTTTGTTTCAACTATATAAAATTTGTTTATAAAATGACATAATTGGGCTGCTATCGCCATTTATCAGTACTTTTTAGCTGCGAAGTGAAAATTTTCACTTCACACTTACAAAATACGAAAAACATAATTTCAACGCTAAATTTTAACATTGTTAAAGTCCAGTACCAAAGGCTGTACGTGTAGGCTGTAAGTACTGAGGCAGATATCAGGATTCAAAAATTCTAAAGGTATTTGAAATAATAAAGAAACTTCAGTAAAAGATCTTAAGCGCGTTTGATTATAGCATGAAACAGAATTCATAAATAAAAACTTAATCAAAGAAATATAATTGTGAATAGATATAACATTTTAGGTATAAAATGATCTTCTTTTGATATCATTTTCATAAAAATTTGTAAAGAACTTCATTAGTCGTAAAAAAGAACGAATATTATATTAAAGGTACGTAAAGGGATTAATAAAATAATAATTAATTAAAGCGACCCGTAAAATTTCTAATGTATCCCGCGTATTATACAATATCTTGCTAATACTACACGATCAGTGGACATCAGCAAAATAGTCACTTAAATGAAATTGCTATACGAATTTCGCATTTGTTTAATATTGACCTCAGCTGTTCACAAGATCTTATTAAGCTGCAATAATAAACGCCAGTATAGTCACAATCTGCTTTTTTATCTCAGATTGCAATCATTTGCTTGCCTCCCTTGGGTCCAAAAATTGTGACGAACGTTTCCGATTCCTATACACAATCCTGTTCAAAATCTCAGCAACAACTCAGAGCTGTTGTTCTTCACTAACTTCCCAAGGTATCCACTTCTAGAGCTCATTGTCTTTTATAATCTATGTTGGATGCCGCTACTAACTCTATCACGATTTAAGAAAAATTTTCCTTTTTCGCTTTCAATTTATCATTTTCATTTTTAATTTCCGGCCACCCACGGACTCGATGATGAGATCGAAATTTCCTCAAATTGATCAAAGCAAAAATGACTCAGTTTGTTATTTTATAGTTGATATTTAAAACCGTGTTTTCATTGGTTGTTTTGTTCTTGACTTTTTTAATTATAAAAAACGATGAGAAAATAAATTAACAACTGATATTTTATAATAATGGCATACTTTGCTTCTTCTATTTCTTCTTTAGTAACTCGTAAACGTCTACCATAGTCGGAGGATATGGGCTTCCCCTGTTTTAAGGAGGATCTGCCTTAATCAGCCAAGTGTGACAATTAAGGCAAATCTTATAGCTTCCGATTTAAAATATATATATATATATATATATATATATATATATATATATATATATATATATATATATATATATATATATATAATTCGGCATTATAGCTTAAGGTTTTTGGAATATCCAATGGTTGCCACCAACAGACTGCATTGGTGACATTTATATAAGTTTTTGAAATAAATAATTGTATAAAAGTTTTAACTACGGGAATTAAAATAGGCAAACGTAAATTTAATTGAACACTAAAAAATAACTAATATTAGTTTTATTAATGTATAGTAATCATATTAATACTAATAATAATATAAATAATATATATATATATATATATATATATATATATATATATATATATATATATATATATATATATATTTAATTATATAAATAGAAATAATTATATAAAATAAAAAAATATAATTTCGTGTAACGTTGGAAGGCAGGCTGAACGAAATTACATGAATTTCTAGTACGAAAGCGGACCGTTAAAATAATAGAATTAAACCATTTAAATTATTAGAGGTGTGTAGGTAATAGAAACAATTGATAGTCAACAGCATCTTCCTTATGACAACTCAAAATAATAATAAAAAAACTGCAATAGCCGAACGTGTGAACTATGGCAAAATCCCCCCTCTGAGACAATCTATGGGGCAGGCCTATGTTCAGCATTGGAATTTTATAGACTTTAATGGATGAATAGCTATATGAGTAGGTAACGGCGTGTGAGCTAACAGACAACCTGATAGTGAGCTATTTACCATCAGTTTGGCCGCAAGCTCGATTAAGGCACTTCTAACCAACTTTGAACAGAAAACGTAATAAATGTTTGTTATACCCCACCACCACACCGGGTGTAGACACCAAAGACACCAAAGATTTACTAATTGTTTTATTGCAGTAATTGTTATGATATATGAGTAATTGCTATTTTAATTCTACCCTTCAAATCAGAACACAGTTTTACTTTTTTGCGGCAGAAGAAATAAATATCCTAAACGGACTTCTAAGCTAAAATTAATAAAAATTATTCTTAGCAAAATAGCGCTTTAGATACTTTAATATTAAAGTTAAAATTACAGCCTATGTAGGTACGTCGCACTGCTGGGCACAGGCCTCCTCTCATTTCTGAGACGGTTTTAGTGCAAGAAAATGTCCGCCGCGCTGCCCCAATGCGAAATATTGTTTTTTCTTATTTCTCAGACATGCAGGTTTCCTCACGATGTTTTACTTCACCCCCGAGCATGTGGTAAATCAGCACTTAAAATTGCAATTATCAATTTCATTGGTGCCCTCGGCGATCGAACCCGGGTTACTCGCATACTGTTCAACGCAAAAAAATAATATTTCAATTTAAATTTTTTATATTAATTTCTACAATTATATAGCAATTAAACTTTAAACAATAATTGTCAATAGTTGCAAGTTATCGCAATTCGTTACGTGACTATTTAGTTCCCTTAAAAATTGTCATTGGACTAATAGTTAAAATCTAACACCCAAATGAAATCTTCAAATTCCTATGCTTTACCTACACGTGAAGCACCGGATTTGCAGTCAGTTAGCAAAACGGTGTAATTATAACAAGATGCTTTAGTTGAAACTATTCTCTGAACTAGATGTTGTTTATTCAGTAGTTAATTAATGATTGACTTAACTAGAATGGTAATAATTGTGTCATCATCATCGTCATATAAATAAGTACCATCATAATGTAAATTGTGGTAAACTGTACTGGAAATACTAGGTATTTCTCTACAATTTGTCACGTTGAGACAGTATTACTATAACGAATATCTTTTCGTTCCCGAGATATTTCTAATGGCCCTCAATTCAAGCAATTTAATCGTGTTTATTACGTTTCGGGCTCATCTTGCTAACTTACTATGAAACTTTAAGTAGACGCCTGACTACTAAACTACTACAAATCATGTTCTCGCAAAACCTAATAAAAAAGTCAACTATTGAAATAATACTAGTTTTTACGGAATTTATCGCGTATATTTAACTTTTTAAATACCCGACGTTTCGAGAGCTTTACAACACCCATGGTCACGGGAAGGACTGAGATGTTCAACGTCCAGATGTCATAGTTAACCGCGGTTACCATAGATTAAAATTTAACTTTTGTTCCGATCTACACAGTATGAACTTATGGTATCATGAAGTCTTGCAGTTGTATGCTTGGGTTGGGATTTAATTTTATTTATTATAGGATCCCAAGCAGATGGTAGCACCCAGCCATCTTCTCTATTGAAATTAGGATGTTTTTTGATTTCAATAGCCTCGCGAATCATCCTTGGAAGGAATCGGTGTTCTTTAGCGAGGATTTGTGGTCTATCAAATCTGATGTAGTGACGGGGGCAATCCTGTACGTGTTCACAGACTGCAGACTTCCCGGAGCGTCGATTCTTCACATCAGCTATATGTTCTTTAACGCGGGTTTTAATTGATCTTTTAGTTTGTCCTATGTAGGAGAGACCACATTCACAATCAAGCTTGTACACTCCTGCATCTTGCAGAGGGACGTTACACTTGACTGATAGTAAAAACTGACCAATCTTCTTCAGCGGCTTGAAGTATGTTTTGATGGAAGCGCGCTTCAAGATGTAGCCAATCTTGTCAGTGACTCCTCTAACATATGGCAGTACAGCAGGTACACGCTCGCAGATCCCTCGTGCTCTCTGAAACAAAGATAGCTAATCTTTGTTTCAGAGAGCCCGAACTATAATTAATATTTCGTTTACTTTCATTTTAACACCCCCGCAATACCCTTCGTAAGTGGAATTTCGTAAAATTCGTTCTCAGTTGAACTCAAGATGACAAAAATAAATAATTTCGCCAAATTTCAAACTTGTATGAGCTACAGATTAAAAATTTAAACTTTTTATTTTTAACGTCCCCGTAATGCCCTAGTGAAATTTCATAAAATCCGTTCTTGTTTAAAATTTTTAAAATTCCAAAAAAAAATATGGCAAAGTTTATACCTAAAGTTAAAACCTATAATAGCTATAGTTTTAAAATATTTTTAAGCTATTGCATACTTAAAAAATTCGATAATTATAGCTTAAAAATATTTTCGCTTCTATCGCGGGCCTTAAGCGCGGGGACCGAATCCAGAAATTCCGTAACGAAAAAAAACCTCACGCTCCCCCACTCCGGCGGGCACGGAGGTGTGGCGTTGAAAGTCGTGCATCGTCTAACGTCGTTTCAGTTCGGCAGACTTCGGCACTCGGTAGAGTTCGGCACGGTGTTTGTGTGCGTGCGACTAGACGAATGCGTGTACACTAGCTGCTAACTCAATGATAAAAATTCCTGAATAACCTACAGGTATTGTAAGATATTAAAAATATTTTAAACAATATTAACTTCTCATTTATTCAATAAAAGAAAAAAAAATTGTTTTCTTATCGGTCACTACGCTCAAAAAGTGTAACTTGATTTAATATCAAAGACTTAACTGCATAAATAAAATAAATAAATAATTATAATTGCATAAGTTGATAAAAAATGCTATGCAATAGCTTTACCGCGACAGTCACCGAGTGCCACACGTATTTTTTTTAATTAATGTCCTAGCAACCCCTCTTGCGGTAGAATTTCGTAAAATCTGTTCTTAATTGACCTCTACCAGACGTAAGGAATATTACTACCAAATTTCACGTCTCTTGGCCTTATGCTACCAGAGATATCGTGATGAGCCAGTACAGTTTCGACATATGAAATATATATATATATATAATATCATTCTCAGTAAATGCTTTTACTGTTTAATATAAATCATAATTATAAGTAAAACTCAGTAATAAAACTCAACAGTAACCGTTTATTTTAAGAATGAAATGTGACCAATCGTAAGCCGTTATCGTGTACTAAAGAGTATAGTTTTTCACAATATATCTATAAAAACTAGTGAAATCCACCGGCTGTTAATATTTGGATAGTGTTTGTGCTATGAATAATATTTTATTTTTGTACAGTCCATTAGCTATATGACAATTATAAGCTTTATTATAATATTGAAGACAAACAAGAAAGTAATAAAAATTACAGATATTCTTATTGCACGAACCCATTGTTATTTACTACATGCAAGAACAATTTACGCTTTATTTCTTTCTTTACAAATATATGTGACACAAACATTGTCATTATTATAAGAGATCGTTGGAAAGAAACAGCCGCTGTGATGTTCTATTAAATTAAAATGGCGGCGGCAGAAATTTGGAGGCTGTTCGCATTGCTGCGAAAACTTCGGATAACGAAATTTTCTGTGACTAAAACACTTATATTGTCTTCAAACTGTTTTTATTTATGTCTTTTTTTATTCTCCATCGACATCGATAGTCAAGGGGAAGTTCCTTAAAGTTTTCGAACAGCCTTCACTGATTGAAACCGCCATTTTGTAATTTTTTCGCTTGTTATTCGTTCGTTACTTTGGAGTGTTTTGTACTATTGCAACTGTTCGAAAACTTTGCACTGTCTTTCGTTTACTCATTGTATATTATGTATTTATATGTATTACAGTAGTAATATTTTTTATAATTTGCCATTTAACACTGTATTATAAATTATTATCTCTAACCAGTAATAAGATTCTTAAGTCCCCATTTACGTACCATTACATATTAACTGATGGACATGCGATGTTGGCATGATAAAACCTGAACTTATGTATAGGATATAGATCGTGAAAGTCAACAAAGAAAAATTGTTGTTTGTCAAACAATAATAATGGATAACGAGATACAACGCCTACAGGCGAGGCATAAAAAACGCTTTCACTTCCATTGCCAAGATCGATTGTTACTCTTACTGTATGGAAAACATCAGCAGACTATTTACTGAATTATGATAACAAGTTATGACTTGAGTAGATTTCTGATAATATATTTACATAGAAATGATGCATAGCAAAACACTTTTTCGAATTGTAAATTTGTTATATTTGTATTACAACTAATAGTCATAATATATTTTTTAAATTTAATAATGAAAAATTATTATTCAAAATTCTTTTCTTAGTAAAAAATATTAGTATTTCCATTATAAATATTATTTTGGTTTGATTTCCTCTTTAAAAAGAAACTATTATGTAAACACTGTTGTCATTTTTCAAACTTGAATTATTTTATTGATTTTTCATTTGATGACACAGTCTTTATTAAAAGCACTCGCATGTGTAATGCTAATAAATTATTTTCTAACGCCAATAGAGCCTACTAAATTATCAAAAACAAATGTTTTAGGGCACTTATGTTCAATGATTAACTAATTGATGTTAGGAATTTCTTAGTAATGTTTTATTTCGCAGATATATTTTCACTATCGTCAGCTACTTGATTGGAGTGTTCATTTTCGCCACCATTGTTGGTCAAGTTGGCAACGTTATAACTAACCGAAATGCCAATAGACTAGAATTTGAGAGGTTGCTCGATGGAGCTAAAACTTACATGAGACACCATAAGGTACGTATTCACATAATTGTTGATTTTGTTTCATCTTTTTAAATACTACTTGCAATATTACTTTACTACGAGTTGCGTTCGTTGCTAGTACCCTAACTTTACTATAAGTTGCGTTACGTTCCGTTTATTGAAGTAGAACTTCCTTACGCACTGTTATGTCCAACCCTAGTTAGTTAAAAGCGCTGACTCGATTATTATATTTACTATAAAAGCCTAGAGTTTGAGGTAATCGAGGCAGTGCAGCTCCAACCCATATTAAGTGCATATCGCACATGCCGTTCGCGGTACGTGCGGTTTTGTACATTTTTTGTATTATTTTAATATTGGGGAAATAAACCAAAAGAACTTCCGGGATAGGGTGTAAAAGTTTTTTTTTTAAAAAACACCTTCAGAGCGGCGCTCTTAACAGCACGCTTGACTTGGGGAGTAAGGTGGCGAACGTGTGACTTGACGGAGTTGAGTGGGGGAAATAAGTAAGAGAGAGCAGTGCGCGCGCACATTTTATTTCTCTCTTTCTCTCATAGCCAGTTATTTTTTGTAATTTTATTTCGTTTTGAACAATTTTATGAACATGAAATATTCTACTTTTAAAGTGAATAAAATTGTAAATTCATTTTAAAGTTCATGTTTTGTGAATTATTTTCGGGTGAATAACAACAATTTATGAAGGGAAGCCGATAGTAAATTTAAATATTTGTAGAAAATTAACATATATATGTGTATGTACATGTGTATATTATACATATATGCATATATAAACACACACGTATGTATATATACAACATACACACAAGATATGTAGAAAAAAATAATATTCCATATAAATATTATTTTGGTTTGATTTCCTCTTTAAAAACAAGAAACACTGTTGTGTTCATAATAGTCCATTTTAATAAAAAAAAATACAAATGGAGCTAAAAATGTTTTACTTCAGTCGTGTGGTCATAAACAATCAAACATAGATAACTTATTGTGTTATGTGGTACGTAGGTATAAGTATCCCGATATTTTAATTTTTTTTGAAGATAATTTGGTATTTGAAGAATAACTTACTGCGAATATGTATACATACTAAACGGATGGGGTGGGTAAAGGATAAATTAACCAATAACTTTAATTTCTTTTACGTGACGTAAATGAAATGTCATTGGTTATATTGGCGCCGTATAAGGTCACCGATGCATAAATCATCCATCCGTTCAGTGTTTAAATTTATTTTAAATTTTAAATTAGTTTTCTATATAATGACGGCACGATTCTGAGAAACTAAAAAGAAATTCGAAAACATGTGAAGTCAGCCATCACGCATTGGGACATTGGGGCTGGATTTTCCGTCCCCACCTCCTCAGATATGAAAGAAGGCCCGTGGCCAGTTATGGGACATACGCAAGCTGTAACTTTACTCTTTGCTTTTGTAATCTCTTCTACTATTTACCACCAGCGATTTGACCGGACCGATACGACCTGGGGACCTTCAAGAAAAGAGCTCACTCCTTTCTAAAGGGCCGGCAATGCACCTGTAATCCCCCTGGTGTTGGGTTGTCCATGGGCTGCGGTAGATACTTAACATCGGGTGAACCGTATGCTAGTTTGCCCCCTCTTCTATACAAAAAAATATTACCTTGTATTGTAGGTGCCGGGTGGCATGAAGCGACGTGTTCTCCGATGGTACGACTACTCTTGGTCACGAGGTCGTATACAAGGTGGAGGAGACATTAACACTGCTTTAGGTCTTTTACCTGATAAACTGAAAACAGAACTCGCTTTGCACGTTAATTTGAGCGTTCTCAAAAAGGTAAGCCAAAAGACAGATTATGTTTTATATAAACTCACGATAACACACTAAAGTGGAATAGAAGTAAAACTAGAGTTGATACGTTACAACGTTTCGTTACAAAACAAAACAGCTTTTTCATAATTTTATGTAATGATTTAGATGATTTAAAACCCCAGTGAGTACAAATAAACGTCGAGATAAAACCACATTCAAAACATGGGCTTCCCAAAAATTGTTTAAATAGAGGATATTTGCTAAACATTGAATAAAACTAAATTTACGGATTCTATCGCGTTTATTTAACTGATTTTACTTATTTTTAATTCTCGACGTTTCGGGTGCTTTACAGCAACCATGCTCACGGGGGGGACTCAGATGTTTGACGTCTCAATGTCATTGTTAGCCCGGCTACCTTCAGTTTTTGAATATTAATTTTTGGTCCGATTTACGCAAAACGAACTTACAGTATCTTGAAGTCTTGCAGTGGTATGCTTGGGTTTGGGTTTAATTTTGTTAATTATATCCCAATAATAATTTTGTTAATTAGATCCCAAGCAGATGGCAGCACCCAACCATCTTCTCTATTGAAATTAGGATGTTTTTTAATTTCAATAGCCTCGCGTATCATCCTTTGGTAGGAATCGGTGTTCTTTTGCGAGGATTTGTGGTTTATCAAATCTGATGTAATAGTGGGGAGGATCTTGAACATGTTCACAGACTGCAGATTTCCCGGAGTGAAGCAACGACATCAGTGCTTCACTCCGGGAAGTTACGGACCAAAAATTAATATTCAAAAACTGAAGGTAGCCGGGCTAACAATGACATTGGGACGTCAAACATCTCAGTCCCCCCCGTGACCATGGTTGCTGTAAAGCACCCGAAACGTCGGGAATTAAAAAATAAGTAAAATCAGTTAAATAAACGCGATAGAATCTGTAAATTTAGTTTTATTCAATGTGTAGTGTTCGCGTAAATTTAAGAAATCATGATATTTGCTAAAGTTGTCACACTTGGCGGGCGGGTTGGCAAATGCAGTTTGTTATTTTAGTTGTATTGATGAAGACGCCGCTGCCCATCTCCTGGTTTTACCCAATCCACTTCTTACCTCGTACACGGGACTATATGGGGTAGTTTATATCCTTTACCCTTACATTGCATTATGGTGGTATGGTGGTTAGATCATCACTAAGAGAAAATCTACATGAATGTTGAATACCTATTAGGAATATTCTTAGCTCTGCGTATAATAGCGTCTGGGGATTACCCCGTAACTTCAATTACCCTATCAATAACAAGAAACAACGTTGTGGGCGCTAAACGTTCCCTTTGGAAGGAAGCCCGTGACTAACAATGGAGCTTTTAAGAACTGACACTTGACTTTTATTTTTGATTTTTTACTTGGAAGTTTAGGTGATACTTGAACTTAAGAATACTTTTGGTCTTTTTAAGATTAATATGCGTATGTTTTACAGGTCACCATTTTTCAAGAATGCCAACCAGAGTTTCTACACGATCTAGTTTTAAAGATGAAAGCCTACATTTTTACACCTGGTGATTCTATATGTCGTAAAGGTATTAAAATAGATATGAACTTATTAATACAATTGATACAAAGTTTTTAAATATTATTTAAGATATATTTATAACAAACATTAATGTATGCATTCAGGTGAAGTAGCTCGAGAGATGTTTATAATAGCAGATGGTATTTTAGAAGTGATATCGGAAACAGGTCGAGTACTAACTACAATGAAGGCAGGCGATTTCTTTGGGGAAATCGGAATTTTAAATTTGGACGGACTAAATAAGTAAGTACAAATATACTCCTATATACTTTATTTTATAAAATTTTAACGACAAATGACCCTACAGTACGCTTGATAATAAGTAGCTACTGTAGCCCATGAACACCTGCGACCAATTTCAAACAAGGAAGGCTACATTTTTTTACTAACTGTCTTTACGGCTCTGGGTTCTAGCCCTTCTGACAGGAAGGTTACAGATGCGTTGTCACCTCTGAGGACTAAGAAGATTTTAATGGATTTAATTTTAATAATTTTTTTATAGAATAATGGTGAGAAACGAGCACACAGTCCATCTGATGGTAAGTGGTTGCTGTGGCCCACAGACATTTATCCTCGATTAAGAATCAAAACGCAGATTTTATATGTGGTAGAGCTATGCTGCAGTAATATTAGTAGTATAGTTGTAGCATGAGTCGGTCAGCTCGACCGGGGAAGGACCACGCTCTCACAGAATACCAGCGTAAAATAGTAGTTTCATGCTGCTGTGTTTCGTATGGTGAGTGTAGAGAACCGGAAACCCTTTTTACTGGAAAACGAGTCATTCCATCTTAGTTCTCACGGGTGATAATGCATCTGCATTTTGATTTGTAATCGAGGATAGACGTAGATGTCTATGGGCCGCAGCAACCACTTACCATCAGGTGGATCGTTTGTCACATTATCCTGTAAAAAAAGATGCATTGTCACCCCTGAGGACTAATATAGAATGCCTCGTTTCCAGTGAAAAGGGTCTCCGGATTTCTACACTCACCATACGTAACATGCTCCTATATAAACACATCAGTATTAAGCTGCTATTTTACGCCGGTATTCTGTAATAATTTGGTCCTTCCCCGGTCGAGCCGACCCATTCGTGCTACAATCATAATATAGCTGCAGAGAGGCTCTACCACGTTATACTCAACAGCCTGTAAATATGTTATCTCCCTATAGTCCAAACGCATATACGCATATCCCTTCACACACTGCTGCTGGGCGGCACAGTTTGCTGAGAGTGTGGTACCCACTCAGACGGATTCCTTTACAGGAAAGGACTCCCACCACCTACTAAAACGAAAATAATTTTTAAATTTATTTAATTGACATAATTATTACATATATTTGAATAGAAATCATATATTCATATTTATATTATGTAATCATATATTTTGAATATACTCAATCAAAGAAATATTTTACCAATAAACTGATAATGAACGCAAACATTGGTTATCGTCATAGATTTCACCATTTTATGTTAATAATAATAGCTAATGATATGCATTGTTATAGATTTGGCCTTTAAGTTGTACTATTGAGGATCACAAGTTTTTAGGTTTTTTTTTTATAGAAAAAGGTGACAAACGAGTACACGGTTCACCCGATGGGAAGTAGATGCTATGGCCCATAGACACCTACATTTATCCTAGATTAAGAATCAAAATGCAGATGCTTTGTCACCCCTAAGGACTAAGATGGAATGAAATGTAAAAATGGTCTCTGGTTTTTACACTCACCATAAGAAACACAGCAGTATTAATCTGCTACTTTACGCTGGTATTCTGTGTTAGCGTTGCCATATACTGGTCAAGCTGATCCATTTATGCTACAACCATAATAAAGCTGCAATTCGTACCACGTATATCTCCCTTTTTAATTAAGCCCAGCAATTAGGACAATAAGATATTTCTAACGATCAAGCGGATATTATATTACAGGACAGCATAACTAAAATTGTTTATTGTATTTATATATTATTAGCTACTGCGTTTTGAAATAATCAACTTACGTATTAAAACTTACAGACGGACAGCTGATGTTCGTTCTGTGGGATATTCTGAACTATTCTCACTGTCACGCGAAGACGTCTTAGCTGCTATGAAGGATTACCCTGAAGCACAGGAAATTCTTCAAACACTTGGCAGAAAACGATTGCAAGAGGCGAAAAATATGTCACGTCAGAGAGTTAAAGGTAATTAACACTATTCAATTATTTTTTATTTTATAAAAGCAATCTAACTTCACCACTTTGTTTCACAATTTTATAATAACAATTTATTTATATTTTGAACTTGTAATTCGTAGCATAAAGACAACTTAATTCAATATTTTCTTTTATCATAGGTGAACACAGTCCGGATAAAACAGCTGGCGACGATAGCACATCTAAACGAATAGTACATAAATTACGAACCGACGTTAAGGTAAAACATAAAACGAATTTAATTAATGTTTTAATAGTTGGCACAACCTACGAAAAGTTAAAAATATTAAAAGCTAGGTTTTAATTTCATTTTTTCATTATCATATTATCAAAATAATTCATAAGTAAAAATAATTTTCTTAACTTATTATTCCTTTTTGAATTCATAAAAACGAGGTGTATCAAAAGTAGCAAATTAATATTGACAGGGAATTCGCAATGCAATCCGGAGTAGATCGAGAGCTGGACGCCGATCGGGTGAATCGCTGGAGCTCCAGGCATTATCAGGCTCAAATCGGACGGCTGGCAGTGACGCCAAGGTACTGAGAAGGATGCCTCGAGTAGAAAGCGATGACTCTCAGGCCCATAATCAGGAGGTTTGTGAAATAACTCAAAGATACATCCACCCGCTATTCTAACCACAGTTACACTTCTGTCACACTCAGAAAGAACAATTATTTCCTATCCTCTTCACCGGCCGGCGAAGAGTAAAGAGTAAAGGAGTATATATCATACTGTATGAAATGCTCCCTACCGCCCTACATATGCCGATCACATATCGAACGCCACAAGACTTTCAGTAAGCTACTTTTACAAAACTCACGAGTTGACATGGACTAATGATTTCTTTATTCCAATACCACATGGTGAAATTAAAATTAAAATTGTCAATCGAAAAAACTTTTTTGTTTTGCTTCTGTTGTAATCACATTGACATTTAAAATATTATTAAAAATTTAATCAATATGGAATTAATATTATTTTTAATAAATAAATATAAATTTGACAGGACAATAACGGTGAAACAACCTCAGGTAGTAAAGAAGGCGAAAAATGCATATCTCCAATAGGCGCAGGATTACCGTTATTGTCACGTTTGAAACTACTAAAAGAAAAACAAGTAAGAAAAAAATTGTTATCTTTTAAAAATTATCTAAATTTTATTATAATAACAAACATTTGTTTATGTTTACAAAGGATCGCGAAGAAAAAGTCTCCAAACAGAGAACATCTTCTGTTGCATCAATACTTACACCACAACCTACACCTTCAACGAGTTCAGCTCCTGACGGTGAATCTGAAGTTATTGGAGCAGGACTTCCACTTCTTCAACGGCTTTTATTACTAAAAGCTAAAGAAGAAAAAGATAAAAATCAGTTGACACCCACAAATAGTAACCGACAATCAAGCTCTGAGACTATCAGTCCGAGTTCTATAAAAAGTCCTTTAAGTCCCACTATAAAAGCATTAAGCCCAATTAGAAAAGGATCAGAATCCAGTTCTCCGGGCCGACTGCACAGTCCCACTACAAAAATGTCAAGAAAAAATTCTTCCGGATCAAGTGACGGTACTACACGACCGAAAGTAAGTTTTAAGGACAAAATTCTACAGGTTCAAAGTGACGGTACAGCTGTTTGTCAACCTCTAACTAAAGATTTAATAGAAAAACCAGCAGCTGTTGTTGAACCTACACCTAAAACAGAAAATAATCTTATTTCTATTCCACACTCTGTTGTAAGTAAAATTAAATCACCAGCTAAAGCGGTAAGTTCAACGTTTCGTGACAAACTAAGGTTGATTCAAAGTAGCGGTTCCAAAGAAAACGATACAAACTCAACGGAAAAGAATAAATTAAATATGGAAAAAGTTGCTTCAGAAGTAACCCCAATTCAACCCATTGATGTTGACGCTAAGAAAGAAAATAAAAAACCCTGGACAAAACTTAAAAAAGCTGCTATATTAGGAGATTCAAAAAGCCAAAGTAAATCTTGCATAGAAGAAAAACCTAATGTAGGTGTTACTAAAGAAAAAGTTGTTGATAATAAGCCTCGTCCAGATACATCTGTTAATATATGCGTACCTATAGTTACTACGGCGGAGCTTGTAAAGATAGACAATAATAATATTGGAATTGATAGTCATAATGTTAAGCATGATAACCCTAAAATTTGCTTGACAGGCCCTTTGGAACCCGTCCAAGAAAAGTCTTTAGATTTATTATCAACATCTCCAAAAAAATCTAATATTACCACAGAAGGTGATTTTATAAGAACGACAATTACAACTGAAACCATGTTATTACCAAAATCAAAAAAGTACAAATCAATAGACGATTTATCCCCGGAATATGGAGGACTACCATTTGTGAAAAAATTAAAAATCTTAAATGAAAGACAAAAATTAGCTGCACTAGAAAAAGTTGTCAAATTTAGAAGTTCAAGTCTTGATTATGCTAGTTCGTCAGAAGATTTGCTATGTGATACATTAACAAGAAGTAATTCAGAAGGTAGTACAATGGACAAAAGAAGATTTAAAAGGAAATCAACCGATTCGTCTGGTAGTCAAGAATCAAATGAAACACTAGAGAGAAGAACGCTTAAATCTATTTTAAAAAAATTATCAGAAGATGCCACTCCTGTTCAAAGCCCTGAAAGAAGTAGAGAACTAAAGAAGTTAATTAGAGCGCCAACTTTGGAGGGATATGCGGTAAGGCATTCAAAATTCGCAAAAAGCGTTACATTTCATCGTCATACCTTACCGTCTCCTCCAACGAGTGTACCATCAGATATAGATGACGAAGTATTTCAAATTCCTGATGTTAAGAATGGTTCTATTCCACGTGTATGTACACCACCCACTGTTGACACTGACATTGCAGAACCGCAAAATCAATTAGTAAGATCCGATACCGAGACTGTGTTGTCTAATCAAGATGCCTGTGATATTAATACACGAACTGAATATAGCTTACGACAAAATAATGATCCTATTTACGATATTAAGGCATTAAGACCAGAGGAGATAAGAGTACCTACAGAAAAACCTAAGCTTACTTTAATTTCAGCTGTAGCAAATCAAAGAAAATTATTGCGAGGTTAATATATGTTTATAAAGTTACAAACAACTTTTTTGATTTCTGTTTTGATGATTCGTTAATTAACCGTATAAAATATGATTTGCAGGTTCTTTAGAAGATCAGGAATATTTTGGTGAAGTTCTTTTAGGAATCAAACAAGTTATTCAAGGGCATTTGCATGAAGTTCAGGGTAAATTCCAAGAAAGGTATGTGCTATAGTTAAAAAATACATACATGTTACGAAAACTAAATAAATTTTATTCAAAATGCCATTTTGTATATATAGGTTTAATAGTTTAGAAAACGAAGTAAGAAAACGTGACGAAATCATAAGCCAATTACAAAAACGTATTCAAGAATTAGAAAAATTTGGTTTGCCTGGATTAAACCCAACAGTTCCATCTGCTGAAACAGAAGCACATTTGCCCTTTAAAACTAACGATACAGGTATTGTTAGTCAACCGCTTTCTAAAAATTGTAGCTCGGGAAGTGAAGAAGCGTCTGGAGCTGAAGAAGGATTCATGGTAAAGCATGTCGATTTTCTTATTATAATATAAATAATTCTAAATTATTTCCAATATATAAACAATCTGTTCGTCGACTTCAAATAGAATAAAATTTTTCAGAGAGGTGACTCTTTAGATACAGTTTTCGCTACATCACCTCCAACTGTCAGTGCCGAGGAAATCGAGCCGCAACTACAACAAAAAGAAAATTTTATAGAAATAAATAAAACTCTCTCAAGTGATGATTTAACGGACGAAAAACTTACTAAAATTACTGAAGGGATAGAATTATCAAAATTATCTTATTCGGAATTACAAAGTCTAGCAGACTCTTTATCTAAGAAAGCTGACAAAACCTTATCTACTAAAGAAGAGTGGACTTCAAGTAAATCTCAGAGGCTAGATTTGAACCTCGCTGGAAAGGCTGGTACTTACTCAAGAAAACGAGTTGCGAAATTAAAACAAAAAAAGTCTTGGGAAGACCAAAGCGACCAAGAAAATATGGAAATGCAGGATCTCACCAGGTTTATTTTTGATTCCTCTAATGCCATGTTTATGTATTCGGCGGTTAAGAAAATTAGCTCCAGTAATTGTGTTTCATTTAATTTACAAAACAATGACCTTTTATTAGGCTAAATGGTTTTCTCATTACTCTCACATAATATCTGTCTTTTCTTATACAGGCCGATTTCTCCGCAAATGACGTCAGAAAATCGTTCACTTCTTAGCCCAGAACAATCTAGTCTTCGCACGTCAAGACGAGGAACGCATCCCTTTCATTTCTTTGGCACTCATTTGGACAACACTAAATCAAAAATCAAAAAAACTCTTTCGGTTGATACTGGAATGCATCACACCGGCACAAAAGATAGAAGTAAGCTGCATCTTTTGGAAACTTATGTTTGTTGTAATTATGATATCTTATATCACATCATACAACTCATCGCACAATATTTTTATTTATAATGTTTAATAATGGTTACCCTAGAGAGATGTATATAGACTATAACGTAACTTTTTCAATAACGGAGCCGTAGCCAAACCTCACAATAGAACAAAAATTATTATAAATTCACCAAATTAAATTTTAAAACTTTTGTGTGTCGTGCAGAACAAGGTCAACAACGTCAATTACGGAAGTTTAGTCTTGGGTCATTCTTTGGTTATAATCGTGGGACTCAATCGAAGCCAACAAATAACTGTAATGAAGTAGTTCTTGATATGGGCAGTGATTACAGTTGGAGTGACACGTAAGTACTTGTTATTGTACCATAACTGTTGTACTTCCCTTAGATTGATATGACCAGATAAACCTTTCCAGTTTTTGTAGGCTGCAATGTCAAAGACATCGAGATAATCAAACCCGAGAACCAATAAGTAGAGAACAATTTTTTTTAACAGGAATGTCAAATTCGGGTCGCATTTAAAACCTTCGCTCGTGCCGTGATTGCGTATTCATCCTAACCTCGGATCTATCTGGTCATGGATGGGTTTGGACTAGTGACCCTGTGCTTGCATCTACACTTTTATTAGATCTATAAAGTCTCCGCCATAGTTTAATTTCGTCGATTATTGTATTTGATAATCGACGATAGTGAATACATTATACATAAATAAACTATAATATATGTTATTGTCCCGTCATCGGGTATAAATATGAAATAATTACTCCCTCATCTATTTCAGGCTTCAATAGCTTATAGGCTTTTCTTTAATTTAACTCTTACAATACACACGGAATACACTGGCCTTTCTCTAGGGACTTTACCCATTTGACGATACCGATGAAATAGTAGTATCTGCATCAGATAGTTAATTATAATTTATTTTCTAGGACTTCAACATCATCAAGCAGTGACTCTGAATCGATCCCGAGGACACCAGTTTTTGAAGAATTTGTAGAAAATACTTCTCGTCGCGTCCGGGCTGGTAGCTCCAGTCACGGAAGCATTTCTCCAATTGGAGGTATTATTAAGAATGAGAGAAAAAAATCGTTAATGTTATCAAAATATTTTGATTAATATGAACAAGGTGGTGTTGTCTGTGTAGGTTTGTGTGTTTTCCAATTTTATTTATAACCAGCTAACTCATTTTAAAAGCCTTAATTTAACCTGCCTTGTATGTTTGTTAGGGTGAATTTTATAACAGTAATCTTAAACGGATTGTTTATGTATGAATATAACACTAATTTAAGTTGTTACTTTAAATACTTTGCCTGTGTTTAAAATTTTCCCAAACAAACTCAGTCCTCATAGGACATATTATAATAACTTTTTACTATTTCAGGAAGAGGAGGTGACTGGGAAGTAATGATGTTAGCCAATGAATTAGAAAAAAGAGAACGTGAGAAAGAGAGGGAAGATAGGCGACATCACTACCCAACCACGCTCCGAGACTTAGAAGAGGCAAGAATTATTTTTTTCTGCCTGACAATAATACTCTATAATATGTCATTGAAAATACAATAATTTCTACATTAAAAGTGTAGCTAACTTAATTTATTTTTAAGACAACTATATGGTATACCGCAAAGTTTAGCTAAGCTAATATTTGAATCCATCCTATTATATATTGTCTTTTACAATATATATAATATTAAAATGAAGTATTGCGACTTTTGGTCGATGTGATCCTGGATGTGTAATAATTATTGTGGTGCAATAGACATCAGAAGTAAGCATCAACAAGTGTATTCATTTTTGCTTACAGACTTACAACACTTTAACATTTTCTGCATTTTTTCACAGTATTTTACTTTACATTATTTTCTTTAGGAATCAGATACCCTGCAAAGAGATGATAGCCCCGATGAATTTTCAAACATTGACGACTCAAATTCTTCCTCTACGACACATCTTCTTTCACAAACTGCTAGCGAAACATCTTCGAGATCAATTGAAACATCGTTCACTGACAGAAGTAGCCACTCTATGAGAGAACCTAGACAGCAGCGTATTGGATCCGTTGGAGAACAGGTACATAATTTATTAAAATCACCCTGAGGGTAGGCAGAGACTACTGACTTTTATTTGGCACGATCCAGACACACCTCTTTTGCCTCCTTTACATACATATACGTCAGGATAGACTAAGAGAGCATTGTGAATTGCCATACTTGCCTTTTTTTAACACATTGTGAGTTTTCGCAATAAAGTGTAGAGCTCCATTTACTTTATATCCTGCATTCATTCGTTGTTCTTTATCCATATCATATCTACCATCTCTTCTAAAATAACGCAAAAACTCATCCACTTTCTCAAACAACTCCCCTTCTGTTCTTAATTCACATATCGTTTTACTTTCTTCTCTTTAAAAAACTATTATTCTCGTCTTACCTGTGTTCACTTTCATTCCCCTTTCTATCATGAACTGTTCATTAATGTAACCATCATTTCCAAGTTGTTCTCCGACGACGCAAGTATAACTTGTTCACAAAAGGCATTTGATTGTTAACTCATCTATTCCTAACCCACATTCATGTCAGGTTTTCTTAGTTGTCTTAAATTGTTCAAAGCAATAAAATATTTTTTTAAATTTCAAAACATCTCACAAATATGTTAAATGTATATGTTGTGAAGGAAGAGCAACTTTGATCTGAGGTAGTAGTAACTAATAGTTTCAAAGTGTTTATCGCTCCTCACTGTCAATTATTGGACATAGGCCTTTCAAGAAGGCCGTTGATAAAACATCACGCTGGGCAGGCAAGTTAAAAAGAATGTTAGCTCTCCTGTCCAGCTGTTTGTAGCCCTTATCTGTATAAGGGCTACAAACAAGTCTTATAGACTGTTCTATAAGACTTAAGTTCAGCATTTTTGAAGGTTTTAGTGTAATCAGTCGTTGCCGGTTTCACCTTTATTAGTTAGCACATGACGTGAAATTAAGTAGACACACGGAGAAAAAATTTGCATATTTATGTCGCACTCTTACTTAACAAAAAAAAACTTTTTTATTTTATTATCAACAGACTACACGAGACATATCTGTACACCAGTCAAGAGGCCTGATATTACGAGCAGCAAGTTTAGACAGAGCTACTGCACCCACAACTTCGCATACAAGGCGTTTTGGCTCACTAAAGAGTTCAAGTACCGATTCCCATAAAAGACTCTGATCCGGTACATCAAACGGATCCAAGTTTCGGTCCGACACGAAAATGAAAAGAGATATGATTCAAGATGACAAGAATAAAACGCGACATAATTCCAACGGTAATACGCAATACGTAAATAGTAATGATAAGAGAAGAAATAGAAGAAATATATATCAAAATGTAAACGGGCTAAGTGTAAATGAAAGAGAGAATTTAAACGGGTCTAGATTTAATAACAACCAACTTGTAACTAGAAGTCAAATTATGATAGTCATTATTGTATCCTTTGAAGGTTTTGATTTCTTTTTATTATTTATTATTTAATTAAAGTACTCAACATTCTCATAGTACTGTACTATAACTTGGTAGAAATGTGATCAGCCTAGCATAATGTACAAGTGTGCACAAATTACTGTTATATTTCAAGTAAATCCAGAAAAAAAATAATTTAAACGCAATTTGTCAAAAACAAATTCAATCATCTAACACAAAATCGATTTAAGGTATACCTTGATTTTGTATCGTATGTAACCCAATAGATTATTTCAATTTTTCATATAACACCAGCAGGACCAAACATACTTTAATTTTAATAAGCATCAGTTCTAGTTACAACCGCTGATAAATTAATTAAAACTTTGTTATTCTTAAATCACAATAGAGTAGTTGAAATAAAATAGTAAAAACAAATGCTTTAAACTACTTCTAAGATGGGTTGGATCAAATCTGAATTTACGTATTTTTGACTTCTTTTCAAATAAATGGAAAGTTCGTAGCAAGTTCTTAATAACTGCAATAAAGTAAATTATTTCAATTGTTTTTATCTTCTTACTCATTATAACCCGCATCAATAAAGAACTAACCTAAAACAGCAGCAAATGTGTAGGTGTAGTGGCAATAAGGCACGTATAGAGGCACTAATAATTACCGGTTCTGATTGTTCTTTGTTCTTTCGATATTTAACATCATACAAGTATTACGAGTATAAATTGTACAATCTTATTATTAAAAATGAATTTGTCCAAACTAGCACCATTTAATGGTCTAACGCTTCAAAATAAAACTCGTGTTGACTACTGTAGTAGAAATAGCATTAATTTTATGCTTACTATACTATTTACAAATAATATTGTAATTATGTATTTTTGTTCTAGAGATATGAAATCTATGTACTGTAACAGTGAAAATAAACAAGATCGGATTCTATTTATGATCCTATTCTTTATTGACGTGGGTTATACCAAAATATTATTATCATCATCATTACAGCCCAACACAAGTTCACTGCTGAAAATAAGTTTCCTCCAAGAAATGCAATAAAGCGCTAAAAAAGAAAATAATTCTAAAGTAAATATCATGCAATTTCAACATCTGATTTTTTATACTTGTTATCATTGTAGCAACATACTTTTATATATTATCTGCTATAAATTCGAAATTCCAAATACTTAGATTGATTTAAACATATGTAGTTAGATTATACAAAATAAATTATATACAAAATATAAAATAGGTTAGATGTAAAATGTTAGTGCCAATATAACGTAGTAAGTTTGTAGAAACAAAAAAGTAAATACTTATCAAATAGGTGAATTTATATTATATAAAGACGTTTCAAAAACTTTAAAATGCTAATGTAACTATTGACTAAATCCGAAAGTAAAATAATTAGAAAAAAATCTACGTTAATTACTAAGCACGATTTTAGTAAATACATAAACTGAATCTAAAATCAAATTAATTTTTTTATTCAAAATTAATAACTCCAAGCAGTCGAATAAAGGATTCGAACCCATGACTTTTAAGTTTGTCGTATCCCTAGCCTACCGCCTAAAGACACGTCATGCGTTTTGTTTCTTGTATTTATTGTTATATCATAATGTTGTAGAGTATAATTTATATATATCAACAGTACAAAAACTGCGTACAATGACGTTAACAATAGTTTATTTTGTTCTGAGTAAAATAGAACACGAATATAAATAATGAAACGTGTAGGTACTTAAACATATTCAGTTAAAAATTTATGTTAATTTTAAAAATCATTGGAATTAATAATAAAAACGCAGACCAGTATTTACATGTATTTGCATCACTTCTATACTGAAAAAAATTATAATACTACGACTACTAATACGACTGCATTTCGTGGCTAAAAAATAAATAATAAATAGTTGGTATTCAGGACTGGATATTTTGTGACACTACCTGGGAGACGCCTCCAGTATTATCGTAATGTGTTACATACATCGAGTACTAAATAGCTAGTACTAGTAAGCAGTTTAGGACTACGAATCTGACACTGTTATACATATATTATATTTTACTCGTTTAATAAATTCTGACATGTAAATAATTACATCATCAGTGGAAACTAGTCGTTAAGTTACTAATTATTTAGTCATTTTGAATAATGGTAGCACAAGAAGTAATGTAATTACAATATAATTATGTTTTAATTTTTTATCATAGAAATATACAGAGGAAATAATTTTAGATATAATAAACATACATGTAATAAAAGTCACGTAGTTAGTGATATATATAGTATTGGAAATATTTAACTATTTCTAACTCTGATCATAATATAGGTTTTAACTGTCAATGATAAAAAAATAAAAGATTTTCAACATCTCATTCGTTTTTCATTTATAGTTAACGTGAAGGCAAGCACTGTGTTGGACAACCTCTCACTTAAGGGTCTATACTACCTGAAATGGCTTAGCAAGATCCTCCGTTATGCCTAAAATATTGCAGCATTAATTTTGAAATAAATATATCATAAAGTTGAGGATTAATGTTAAGTACTATGTTAGATGAAAACACGATTCCGTAAAATTTTCTCGATAGAAAAAAAATCCAAAGTTACCTCCAAATCGAACAATAAACCGCTGGTATTCACAAAATACTCTAAATTAGATCGTGAAACTTTGCATACTAACTGAACTAACTATAAAGCAGGGCTTATGTTTTTTTTTTTAAATTACCATTATAAAAAGAAAATACCTAAACTATCGGCATCCTAAAGCTTGTTCCCTGCCGCCTGATACTCCCGCTCAGTCTCGCTTCGGCTTTTGAACGGGAATGTTGTGTCGCTGTCAAACAGAATACACATTACGTAACGGGACGACATAAAATTAAAATTGGAAGTAACCGTAATAAAAATAAGAAGCAACTGGGTTGGCGTAAACAGGCATAAATATGATAAACCTAATGAAATAAGTATCTAACGACCTATCTGCTTACAGTATTAGTGATTACAAATATGTCGCTAGATAGCATACGACGCGCGGGGAAGTGTGGGGCGAAATTAGAATTTGAGCTGAGGTAGTATAGGTTCTTAATGGAGCGACAATATGATCAGGCATGCATTAAATTGATATTGTACTGATGGCTCAAGACTGTAGTCTGTGGCAATCTTTGAGTATTAAACCAAAGGAGACGGCATCGCAATGCACACCCCTCTGTAAAAGGTACGAGAGTCCGACTCATACTCGTTATATAAAACTAGTTGCTCCGCGTCGTGCGTCATTCCGAAGTAATCGTGCCAGTAAATCGAGCTCCGACAAAATCCCGAATTGCAGTGTATTTACATGAAAAAAAAAAACAAAAACGTCAAGTGTACAAAAGGACAATATGACTTTTAATCTGTAAGTATTTTTAACATAATATTAAAGTAATTTTATATTAAAATCGTACTGTGAATATTATCGTCCAATACCGAGTGTGGCCATCATACTTCATAAAGTGAAAAATAATCTATTTTAAATAAATATAATTTACTACACAAGTTATATAATATATTAACGAAAATATATTTCCTAATAACTAAATCAGTTTGTGATGAATAATAATCATTACATATAGATGTGTAGTGGATTTTGTTAAATGATTTATATATTCAGCTCAATTTCAACACGATACTGAATATTATATACCTAATTAAATATAATCGATAACTAGTATTTGTTAAAATATTATACAAAATACAGGCCAAATAAGTCAAATCGAAACTTGCTACCTCGCAGCAAAAGTGTGCAATTTTTATAAAAATAAACTGGTATCACTGCAACCGAAAGTATTGCACTATAGTGATGAACGCCGCAACTTTAGCTATCGATAAGTTAATTAACGGTTTTTCTGCCAACGGTTTGTAGTTTTTTTTTTTAGATTTTATAATAAAGTATTACAAAAAGTAGTAAATTTTTCTATTATTTGTTTGTTTTTACAGATTTCCAAGAGATCCTCTTAGGCGGCACACTTGGATTGTAGCTTATAGAAACCATGAATCTGATACTGCAGTACCAATCTTGAACTTGTGGGAGGTAATGTTTGGCTGTAATTATATTTAGATTAAATATTTTTATTATTACCATAGACACCAATATTATTCTACTTGAAAATATTTTATTAAGTTCACAAAAGCATTAACCTATCAAATTTAATTCATATATTTATATACCTATTATTGTAATTGTAAACTTAATGTAGTATAATTTTTATACGCCATAAATGGCAAAACATGTAGCTCGTTTTAAGTTTTTTAACACTTGTATTTTATTTACTCATGTTTTACAAAATAAATATCTTTATCATACATAAATATATAAAAAAAAATATATATATATATATATATTATATAGCTTGAATCTTCTGACTGAAATAAAATTATTTATTTTAGATTGCACAATATCGTCTACATGTCTACATCCAAAAAAAGAAAGCTGGGTGTTCCGGCAAAACTCCATAAATTATCTCGAAAGTCACAATTCGGAAAAAATCCTTATATAGCCCGAAATAGTCCTACTCCCACTGCGAGTACGAACCAACACTTAGACCAAGGAAAATTAAAATGAAAAAATTCCTTGACATAAAAAAACAATAGCATAAACAGGCTCCACAAGTTTGCAAGAAATACTATGCCCTAACACTTAACTATTACTCACCAAAAGCCTATCGCTATGTACGTAAAACTTTCGGAACATGTTTGCCTGCACCACGTACATTGACTAAGTGGTACA